GGCCAGCACTGAGCTACTCCCATGTGCCTGCAGTGCTTTGGGGAGGGCAAGACAACCTCCCACTTCTGCTTGGAAGAGAATGAAAAGTCATTCCCCTTCTCTCTCTCTGACCCAGCACCAAAGCAGTCGTGTAGGACAACACCGGACTATGCACGGAAGGCCTGATTCAACTGGGAAAACACCAGACTATGCACGGAAGGCCTGATTCAACTGGGAAAGAAAAAACCCTAAACAAACAAACAAACAAACCCACCCTGAATTTCAAGGTAAAAATACGCTGCTTCCTGAACAGGAGCACACAAAACACATTGAAGCCAGAGAGAAAATGACAAACCAGAAAAAAAAAAAGAGCCAAAAGAAATGCTCTGCCTGCCTTGATACACCCTCTGCTTGATCATTCCAAAGGAAATTCTCCACAGATCAGAAGCAATTACCCATCATTTTTCCTCTGTAACAAATGAATGACTTGGGTTTCTGCTGAGGGGCTGGACATGTCCAGTGAGGGTTCAGAGGTCTGGTGGGTTGTTTATGGCAGATCCTGACCGGCCCAGGCCAAACCCAACCATCCCCATTGCTGCTCCATCCCACATGGAGAATATTGATACTGTATAGAAATACTCCCCTTCCCTGCTACTTCATCCTTCCTTACACATCCGTGGAGCAGGTTTTCTCCACCCTTTGTTCCCAGCAACAGCTCTCCAGCCCAAATCCCAGCTCCCACGGACACAAACTAAACACACCTAAGGCGATGGTTCCATCAGCACCTGGAATTCCGAGCTCTCCGTTCCCTGAAATGCTCATCCCAACACTCACAGCAATCTCACCTCAGCCCACAGGCTCTCTGTCCTCAGAGGCAAACACAGCCTGCTCTGGCACCACGTTTCCTCTCATTCCTGGTCTCCTGGAAACCCCCAGGGCAATCCAATCCCTCAGACCCTGCATCCCTGGACAGGAGGGGAACTGGAGTTTGACCTGGATCCCAGTGCTCTGGACAAGTGTGTTCCCACGAGCACAGGCCCGTGGCTCCATCCAGCCCATCCATCCCTCCTTTCCCCTCAGGGAGTCCCAAGCCCTCCCCCAGCTCCCCTGTGTCTGTCCCATGGCCCAGTCCAGCTCCAGGCTCTTCCCCAGCATTGTGTCAGCTCCAGCCCTGGCAGAGCTGCAAACACCCCCCAAGCTCTGCCCCTCGGGCTCCTGAACCCCCAAACCAAGGCTCAGGCTCACCAACGGGGACCCACCTGCCCCTCTCAGCACAGCCCAACCCCACAGCTCGGGGACCCCACGCTCACCTGGCCCTTCGCCCCTTCCTCTCCACCCTTCCCAGCACGGCAAGGACCAGCCCGCAGTGGGAAACAGAGCCAGTGCCCAGGGAGCAAATGCCAACAGCCAGGAGGAGAGAAACGTGTCCCTCTGACTTACCCCACCCCACCGGCAGCACCAGGTGCCCCCAGCGCCGGTTGGCGGGGCTGGAGCCTGTTGCCTTTGGCTGCTCATACCCCAACACATATGGCATTGCTGGACCCAAGTCAATGATTTTCCCTGTCCTGAAAGAGAGGAGAACAAGAAAATTAAGTTCACTGGGGAAGTGAAAGGCTCTTGGCTTTCACGCTTCTCTTCTGATTACTCACTACAGGTGTTTCTTCCCTAAAACCTGCTCTTACCCCCCCCACACCAATACCACCCCCCCCGTCCCCGGCCGGTCGCCGCCACTGCCCTGCCCGGCGGCCCCGAGGGCTTCAGGCGCCGGCCCGGCCAACGCCTCGCTCTCCACGGGCGCCGCTTCCGAGCCCGCCGCCGACCGCCGGGCCCTGAGGCCTCGCAGTCGCCGCCTGGCGGACACGGCCGGGAGCGGCACTGCAGCCGCGCGCCCCCCCCCACCTTGCAAGACCCGCGGCGCCTTCTCCTGGCGGCGGCACGCAGGGGCAAGTTTCTCCACAGAGACGAGAAACTTGCCTGTCGCTTCACCTGCCTGCAGTCCCGGATGGCCGCGGGTGAGGCAGAAGAGCTGCCGCGCCCCCGCCGGGCCCCGCTTACCCCGGGGACGATCTCCTGGAGAGCCCCAGTCGGATCTGCCGCCGTGGGTCGCTTCCGGGGGAGGAAGGCGGCGGCGCAGCCCCGACAGCATCTCCGGGGCACGGCGGGGGCGGGAGCGGGAGCGGGAGCGGGAGAGGAGCGGAGCGGAGCGGAACGGGGCAAGCGGGCGGCGCGATGAGCCCACCGTCTGCCTGGGGTCCTCGCGCCCGAGGCGCGCGCCGCGGCGCCGAGAGGGGGCTGCCCGCGCCGGTGCCTGCCGCCGCCCACGAACCTGCCGCCCGCGCCCGGCGCCGCCGAGCGCGCCACCCTGTCCGCGCACCGGGAAACAGCGCGGCGAGACGGCGCTGCGGGCGCGAGGCGGGGGTCAGGCAACAGGATAGACGGCTCTCTGAGGGAAGGGGGCCTCTCGCCGCCATCTTGTGTGTGGCCTCAGCTAACTTCCGGTCCTGGCGACGCCATCTTTGGTGTGGCCTCGGCGAACTTCCGGGCCGGGGCCGCCATCTTTTTGTACGACCTTGAAGAACTTCCGGTGAGGGCGCCGCCATCTTTGTGTGCCGCCAAGGAGAAAAGACTTCCGGTCACGGAGGGCGCCATCTTGGGTGGTGCGCCGCCCAAAACAGTCCGGTCGCTCTCTACTTCCGGTGCCCCCCGGACAACGTCCCTCACTAATTTCTGGGCTTTCGCCCGCAAAATCTTCATCTTATTCCCCCCGCACACACCCCGGGAGAGACGGGAGACCACGAGTCCCGTCGCGCCGCGGGAACCGGCCCTTAAGTGGAGCAGGGAGCGCTACAGCGGCACGAGAACCAGTGCGCATGCGTCACTGGGCCCGCGCCTGGCCGCCCGTAGTGACCACGTGATCGCCGGCGTCTTGGTAACGACTACGCATGCGCCAGCGCCGCCATCTTGCCTGCCCCCCCTACGGCCTCGTCCCCCCGGCTTCTCCCTGCACGCGCCCCGCCTGCTTTTGTGGGGCCCCGCCTGGACATTTCGCGGCTCCTCCGCCGCCGCTTTTTCGGCTCCCGGGGGTTCCCCCACCCACCCACATTTTGGGGGCCGCTTCTCACATTTTAGGGGTGACCCCCCCCAATTTACGGGTCGGAGGGCGGGGGGGGGAGAGTAAACGGGGTGCCCAAGAAGGGTTTTCTTTTTTTTTCTCTTTTATTTCACTTTTCATTTTATTTCCTTTTGAGTTTTCTTGCTTTTATTTTTTTCATTTTCTTTTGTATTTTATATTTCCTTTTTTATTCCATTTATTTTTTATTCTCTTTATTTTTCATTTTCTTTCCCAGTGCTCCCCAGTAACACCCAGTGCACCCCAGTAACACCCAGTGCTCCCCAAAAATTGACCCAAAACTGACCCAAATCACCCCAAAAAATGACCAAAACTGACTCGAATTCACCCCAAAAACTGACGCAAAAAACTGATCCCAAACACCCCAAAACCTGACCCCAAACCGGCCCTAAATCACCCCAAAAACTGCAAAAAAACTCCTCCAAAAACTGACCCAAAAACTGACCCAATTCACCCCAAAAACTGATCCAAAACTGAAGCAAAACTGGCCCAAATCACCCCAAAATCTCACCTCACATCGGCCCAAAATCTGACCCCAAAACTGCAAAAAAACCCCACGAAACTGATCCAAATCACCCCAAAAAGGCTTCAAAACCTGACCCCAAACTGGCCCAATTCAACCCAAAAACTGCAAAAAAACTTCTCCAAAAACTGACTCAAATCAGCCCAAAAACTGACCCAAAAACTGATCCAAAACTGAAGCAAAACTGGCCCCAATCACCCCAAAATCTCACCTCAAACCAGCCCAAAATCTGACCCCAAAACTGCAAAAAACCCCCACAAAACTGATCCAAAATCACCCCAAAAACTGACCTCAAATCGGCCCAAAAACTGACCCAAAACTGACCCCCAAACACCCCAAAAAATGACACAAAACTGACCCCAAAACTGACCCAAATCACCCCAAAAACTGCAAAAAACCTCCTCCAAAAACTGACTCAAATCACCCCAAAAACTGACCCAAAACTGACCCCAAACACTCCAAAAAATGACACAAAACTGGCCCAAATCACCCCAAAAAATGACCCAAAAGTGACCCGAAAAACTGCCCCAAATCACCCCAGAAACTGACTCAAAACGGACCCAAATCACCCCAAAAAATGACCCAAAACTGACCCAAATCATCCCAAAAACTGACCCCAAAACCTGACCCAAATCAAGCCCAAAACTGACCCAAATCATCCCCAAAATTGACCAAAACCAGGCCCAAATCACCCCAAAAACTGACCCCAAACTGCCCCCAAACTGCCCCAAATCCTCCCAAAACCTGACCCAAAACTCTGCATTTCTTTGGCATCATTTCCTCTCAGAACCAAAATCTCCAACTGAGTTGATTGCTAAAGCCATCCTTTTCAAATCATCTCAGGAATGCAAAGGGACTGGAAAACACAGAGAAATCCTTCCTCCACCCAGCAAGTCATTATTAATTGGAAGCCGATTCCCTCATCTCTCTGCTGGTTTTTCTTGGCTGGAAAACCTGCTGATCTGATCCCCCCTGGCTCTTTTTAGGCTGCTTTTCTTGCCCAGCTCCTTTCTCCCGGGGACGATCTCCCGGAGAGCCCGACGTCGGATCTGCCGCCGTGGGTCGCTTCCGGGGGGGGAAGGCGGTGGCGGAGCCCCGACAGCATCTCCGGGGCACGGCGGGACCGAGCGGGGCGGGGGCGGGGGCGGGGGCGGGAGCGGAGCGGAGCGGAACAGGGCGAGCGGACGACACACGGGCCCCGCCCTCTGCCTGGGGTCCTCGCACCCGAGGCGCGCGCCGCGGCGCCGAGAGGGGGCTGCCCGCGCCGGTGCCTGCCGCCGCCCACGAACCTGCCGCCCGCGCCCGGCGCCGCCGAGCACCCCGCCCTGTCCCCACAGCGGGAAGCAGCGCGGCAAGACGGCGCTGCGGGCGCCAAGCGGGGGTCCGGGTCGGGGCGGAGGTCAGGCAACAGGATAGACGGCTCTCTGAGAGAAGGAGGCCTCTCGCCGCCATCTTTAGTGTGGTCTCGGCAAACTTCCGGTCCTTGCGGCGCCATCTTTACTGTCGGCTTGGGGGACTTTCGGCCCTGGGCCGCCATCTTTTTGTACGGCTTTGGAGGACTTCCGGTAAGGGCGCCGCCATCTTTCTTTCTGTGCGGCCTCGCAGGACTTCTGGTCACGGAGGCCGCCATCTTGGGTGGTGCGCCGTCGAAAACAGTCCGGTCGCTCTCACTTCCGGTGCCCCAGTTTACCCGGAGAACGCCCCTCACTAATTTCTGCGCTTTCACCTCAAAAATCTTCATGTTATTCCCCCATACACACCCCAGGAGAGACGGGAGACCACAAGTCCCGCCGTGCCGCCGGAACCGGCCCTTAAGTTTAACAGGGAGCGCTGCAGCGGCACAAGAGCCACTGCGCATGCGTCGCCGTTCCCTCTCCTGGCCGCCCTTAGTGACCACGTGATCGCCGGCGTCTTGGTAACGACTGCGCATGCGCCACCACCGCCTCACCACCCGGCTTCGCTTCCTTACTGCGCGCGCCTCACCCGCTTTTCTGGGGCCCCTCCCTCACAGTTCGCGGCTCCCCCTCTGCTGCTTTTTCGGCTCCCTGGGGTTCCCCCCCCCACGTTTTGGGGTCCCCTTCTCACATTTTAGGGGTGACCTCCAATTTACGGGTCAGAGGGCGAGGCGGGGAGTAAACGGGGTGCCCCAGAAGGGTTGTTTTTTTCTCTTTTATTTCACTTTTCATTTTATTTCCTTTTGAGTTTTCTTGCTTTTAATTTTTTTTTATTTTCTTTTGTATTTTATATTTCCTTCTTTATTTCGTTTATTTTTTATTCTCTTTATTTTTCATTCTCTTTATTTTTCATTTTCTTTTCTTTCTCGTTTGGTTTTAATTTTTTTATTTCTTATTCTTCCAGAGAGGGAAACACTGCAGCTCCTCTGGGCCAGAGAACGGCTCCCCTGCTCTTCCCTTAAACACAACACCTGCAATGAGTGCCCTGGAAGCCCGCTCCACTCATGCCAGGCACTGGGGCCCACCCAGAGGGGCTTTGCCAGCATCAAATGGAAATTCCAGCCTGGGCAAACGTGCTTCCAGCAGGACTGCTCCTGGCCAAGGCAACCAGTCCGTGCAAGTCAGACCACTGACCACCCGGGGGGATTTTCAGGGGCATACTTCCAGCTTTTATTCTCCAGAAACTCCAGTTCTTTCTGGCACCGCTTGCTTCAGTCTTCCCCTGTTGGAAGAGGTCACTTAGTCTTTCTGGGGCCAAATTGCCAAAGCCCGGCCAGTCCATTCCCTCCACACCTCCACACGCCCTTGCACTCCGGGGCCGAGGGGCAGCGGCCTGCCCTGCACAGGCCCCGGGGCTGGCCTTCAGGCCAGCTCACCTGATGTGCTGAACTTCCTCAGGGATCGTTTCCGCCTGCATCTGAAATAGAATTATTACAAAAGTCACCAAAATGTTCCAGGAGAACTGAACAGCTCTGGACATCTCATGTCAAGTGAGGAACAGGACCTTAACTCCAACTGCAGCCCACACTGCTACAAATCGACAGCAACTGAACTGCAAGGCCTCCATACGCGACACATCACAACTGGTGACAACACCAGGGACTGCTCGGTCTGGAATGACTACTCAACCATCACCTAGACCGGCTCAATGTATTAACATGTTAATGCTAAACCCTTAGTGCTATTCCACCTATCTTCTGGTCTGTGTATCAGGGCAGAGCAGCTCCAGGACAAACACAAAGACACCCATTACACACAAGATGACAAACAATGCGACCTGTTGTGAGAGAAAACTCTCATTGAGAAGGATGACTGCGAGAGGGATGTGGTCAAGGGATGTGGTCGTGTAAGATGACCTGTGATGGTGAGCTAACGAGGCTTAAAGGAGCCGGAGAAATGAGTCGTTACAAGAATAGCCTGTCAAAATTGTAAAAGATGGACACCGGATAATGCTCGATTCAGGATGTTCTCAATGTCATTATATTCTTAAAGTCCCAGTCCCTAACAATGGATGGCTGCAGACAACAGCTGCAAATACAGCCTGGAAGAAGGCAGTTAAAAAGATCTGAGTCGACACTTCAGAGATTCTGATGTGCACCCAAGCCAATGACGAACGGATGATATCGGCACCAGGCTGCAGAATGCTGACAGCAAGACCTGAATGATGATGACTGATTGTTCCGATAAGCCTCTGGAGAGAGGAATACAAAGACATCCGATCCTAAGGACCCGGAAGATGTGGAACACAGACTAGACGATCTAGACGACCTAGACTAGAACTGCTCTGCCCTGAACACGCTGCTGTTGTGGACAAAAGTAAGCTTCTGCATTGATTTATCTTAAAGGGCCATTTTACCTATGCTAATTTCAAAATATCTCCCAAAAATCCACAAGCTGATACCCTGCTTTTGTCCCCTCTCCACGTTATAGCCCATGACTTATCTTTCGCATGGCCGGGGATGTGAATCCATCTGCGACGCAAAGGAGAGCCACCTCGGCGAGCTGAAAGGCTCCTGAAGTCCCCGGGTTATTTTCTTAGTCAGCTAAAAGGAAACCAAAAATCATTCCCCGTGTTTAGCACTGCATCTGCCAGAACACAACAATCCCCCTACTCACCCTGTCCTAACCACACTGAGGTTCTCATGCTACCGGCTCCAGCCACAGCTATCCTAATGTGGCATACCTGAAACACACAGAGAGAAAGTGACGTGGCCTTTCTGAAAATTCAGTGGACCCATGCTCCGCCTCTCTATCTCCCCGACTCGCCTGGAAGGCTCCTCTCTTTCCAGCTGCTACCGAGACCACCCTTGCAAATAGAATAGGTAAATGCTCAATCGCTGAGCTCTCAAATACTTAGGGATTCCCCTCAAGGCAAGCTGAAGACCTATAAACCCTGTCAGACTGCTCGCTGAAGTGCTGCTACACCCCGCTAAGCAGACAGACGGCCACTGCAAAAAAACACAGATGTGGAGGCCCATGCTGACATACCTCCTCATAGTGACTATCTGAGGTTCCTTTACCTTGACCTCTTATTGGATGGACCTTCGTCACATTCAGCAGACAGGCAAAGGGTTGTGTATCGCCTAGAAAAAAAAAAATAAGCAGTTACAACATATATGCATAGACAACATCCTAAAACTAACACCAAATTCAGTCCGAGAGTAAAATTCTCACCTCACTCGTCTCCGCTCCTGTGTCGCTAGCCCTTGAGACACTGCTCTGCAAACCCATGGCATCCTCTTGGGGCCGCACCTGCTGCGACCCCAACACAGCAGTGCACAGGCCCGCACTTCCCGCTGGGGGTCCCTCCGCCGCCCCAAAGAAGGGATGTTGTACAAAGAGCATGCAGAGCTGGTCCAGGGAGCCTCAGCTGATGGCCCCGTACTCTGCTTTTAACAACAAAATGCCACAGACAAGTTTCCCAACACGGTGAAAGCAAGAGACTACGAGAATAGTTTTATTATTAAACGCTTATTATCACCCAAAACAAGGCACGCATGAAGGGGCAGCTCTGTATTTCCTTAAACAAAGCAGCACGTTGCTTGGTTCATTGTTTTCATATAACTTAGAGTAAGAAAGCTAGTCAAGAGCAACAGGTATTACACCTTAGCTTCAATATAAAAGCAATTCAGGATCACTCTTCTTTTCATCAGAACACCCCAATGCATACCCCTCACTTGGAATATTCTACTGTAGTATAGGTTGAATATCAAGACTAAACCTTGTGGCAGTACCAAATCAGGTGTATTCATTTACTAGGCATCGTGTGGTTAAACTGAGGGACTCTATGGCAAAATCAAATGCCACGACAGTGCATGTTGTTCAGAGACTCATCAGTGGCATTGGATAAACATGATCCTACGCCAGTTTTCTGCACAACTCCAGCCTATCTTAACAGTTGCTGCCATCTTTGGGAGTTTTTGGTTTTTAATTATGGATTTTAATGGCACAAAACCAATCTTCTGTTTTTACATTTGAAAGCTTAAAAAAAAAATGCCTCTAATTTTGAAGGGAACTAAGTTGTATTAGTATCTTACATTTCTCCTCTCCAAGAAAAGTCTCCAGAGTATGCATCTAAAAATCTGCAGAAAAAGCCTAGGCACTATATGGTTCAAGGAATCCAGGGGTTTCCTCCCCAGTATAATGCAAGCCAATCATTTTGATTCTCTGCAAAATGCTCTCCTACCAGTAATGATCACCTGAATCAGCCATGCCTAAAAAGTTCTAGTCCCAAAAGCACGAACCTGTGAAGGTAATTTCTACGTTATTTAGCAGAATTTAAAAAAAAAAATCAGACCACAATCGCACACTAATGGCTACATTTACAATTGCTCTGAAATATAAATTGACTACCAAAATGTCAAACAAAGGTCACCTTCAGCAGCAATTTTAAAGACATTCAGATTTCATATTTTTTAATACACCTAGCATCTAAGAAAAATGATCCATGGAAAAGTGATGGGTTATATAAAACTTATATTAAAATTCAAGTTGAATTGCAATATGTCTTGTTCATCCCTACTGTGTAATCCAGAAAGAAACTACACCTTTTGCTACCAAAGTAAATTACTAAGGTAAGACCAGCACAGAAAGTGTCATGAAGAAATCAAGCTTGCAGGATAAGGCTGCCGAAACTCAAAAAACCCAAGTTTTTTTCCATTAATGAGTCGGTACAGTTTTTAACCAGGTGAATGCCAGCAAACTTTTGGCAGCTCCTTTGCTGTAGCCGCATTCCCGTCCTCATTGCTCCTTCGGCAGCTGCAAGGGAGCATTGCTTTCTTGGGCCATATCTAAAGAGTCCACGATCTCGCCGGAGAAAACCACTTCCAGTCGCTCATCAATCTCCGTTTTTTCCCTGAACACACACCAGAGCAACAGCCCCGTGCACAGCACACTGAAAGGCAACACCTTCAGCCACGGCCTCTCGTGGTCGCTCCCCATGGACCGGCTGACGCTCCAAACCCGCGGACTGGCCTTGCTGCTAGAGAAGGGAATGGGCACCTCGCTCTCCGGATCCGCGCCCGCCGCACCCTCCGGGTCTCGACGTCGTGCGAGTCCCTTCCAGGGCTCGGGCAGGCGCGGGGGCCGCCGCGCCCTGTAAAGACACGCATGAGCGGCGCGGGGGGCACGGGCAGCGGCCCGGCCCGGCCCCGGCCCTCACCGCCAGCGGCCCCGGCCCTCACCGCCAGCGGCCCCGGCCCAGCTCAGCCCCAGCCCCGGCCCTCACCGCCAGCGGCCCCGGCCCTCATCGCCAGCGGCCCCGGCCCTCATCGCCAGCGGCCCCGGCCCTCACCGCCAGCGGCCCCGGCCCAGCTCAGCCCCGG